TTGAGATGTTCAGAAGAACACGTTTTGGATCATTTCTGGATGTAGATATAATATTTAATGGGCAGTTGATCCATTATTTGTTATTGAGGGAGGTGAAGCAGAAGAATAATGATTGTATTAGCTTTATGGTTGGAGGAGTGGTGTGTACCTTTTCAAGGAAGGAGTTAGATATGGTAACTGGGTTATGGCGTCGTGGAAGTTGTTCAACTGGGACCAAATTAAGTCATAGACTCCGAAAGACATATTTTAATGATAAAGGGTCTATCACAGCAAATGAGATAGAAAATAAGTTTTTGAATTTCGAGGGTGATGATGAGGATAGGGTGAAGCTGGCACTGATATATCTCAAAGAGTTGGCTTTGTTTGGGAAGGATAAGAAAACAAAAATTGACACTAAATCGCTTTCAATTGTAGATAATTGGTCTACATTTGATAGTTATGACTGGGGCTCAATAATATACGAATGCACGTTGAATGAGCTAAAGAAAGCATTGAGAAATGCTTGAACATCTAATCGAGAAAAATATTGTATAAGCGGTTTCCACTAACACTATAGGTATTTTAATTATTTTACCTAATTTTATGTATATAATAAACTTTCATACTTAAATCATGTTTGTGTCATGTGTTGTAGGTATGGGCATATGAGTCTATATCGCCCATGAGTGGTTATGTTGCAAAGAAATTGGATGAGAATGTTATCCCTCGCATGCTTCATTCGTCGTGTTCACAATCGCCCTTAGCTAATTTATTAGAGAGTGAAGTGTTCGATATAAAGAAGGTATGCAACAATTATAACATAAGGGTTTACTGTAATAACTATGTTATATTACCTAACTATTTTATGATCTTTTAGATGGAAGTTAGAGAATTCCTCGAGCTGACGAATGATGAAAAGTTGTCCATTCATGCAATTAGAGGTCAACCACCTTCCAAACCATGTCTCCCAAGTCCCAATGTTACATCTCATCATACACTAATCTTCAAAAGAACAAGATGCGACACCCCATGAAGACTCAAATAACATTCCATATGTGAAAGATGACTTGAAGGCCCATGTTTTGGGGATGGAGAAAGACCTACTTGAAGTGAAATTTACATTAGGAAGCGTATTGGAAAATCAATGTGAGATGAAACATATGTTAGCAAGCATCTTAGAAAGTCTTAAACGAGAAGAACAGGTACGCAGTCCTAATTCATTTAGAGATAAGACTGTTATTAATGTTTACTTACTACTTATAGCCATGATATAGGTCGATGATAAAACATGTGTATAACTTAAAACTTCTGATGATAAGGGTTTGTTTAAGGATGTCTCTGATTCTTCTACACCTAGTTGGTTGAGGATGCTTGTAGAAGATGATGATAAGGTTAACAATGAGGTGCAACAATCTTCTATTGAGAAACATGATAAGGTTAGGAGTGAGGTGCAACAACCTTCTATTGAGAATCATGATAAGATTAAGAGCAAGGTGCCACAATCTTATATTGCAGATCATGATAAGGTTAGGAACGAGGAGGAAAAATGTGCACAACTTTTTGTTCAGTATCATGGAGATTCAGATGCGACTGAGATCGTACCCTTTATCGTTGTACGATCTAACATTCGTCGTGCACGTAAGAGGCGTGCTAGTACTTGGACCTTAGATCCATTTACAACTTTCAAGAAGAAGATAGATACTAACAAAATAGACCAAAGTTTGAAAGAAACTCAAATTTCATACAATTCAATGCATAAAATAGTACCAAGCGAGTTAGAACGGCTTAGGGGATGGATAAATGACAAAAGTACAGATGATCATTTGTGTGACACCATCACTGGAAAGAAACCAAAGAGTTTTTTTAAAGAATTGTTTAAGGCTCGAGAGTGGTTGTCTGATGAGGTAAAATAAAATTTTAACTTTCAAGTATTTTTTTCGGTATATTCGTTATTCATTTTTTATTATGGTTTTTTTTTATACAACATATAGTTCTACTTTCTTATTCCTTCGTTTAAAGCTAAAATCCGTGGAAAATTTGTGTTCACAAAACTTTACAACAGTGGATACCGTTTTCTTGGTAAGTACACATCCATATTACATTTATTTGAATTTGTACATAATCACAAACATTTTTTAATACGGTAAGTGCAAATCTATATTACATGTTTTTTAATTTGCAGCGTTATCTCGGAGTAACGTGGAAACGATATCAACAGTGTTGTCAAGATAAACTTACATTCAATTGGTAAGCTGAGTACAAATTGATCAATTATGTTATTGGATCTAATGACGACTTCAAGGATGCTTGGGCTGATGTCGACTATGTATATGCACCATTCAACGTGAAGAACAACCATTGGGTGTTAATATGTTTTGACTTGCTTGGTTGTCAGATAAAGGTATGAGATTCCCTCCCAAACTATTCTACAATAGAAGAGATGGCATTGTTTCTAGAGCCGGTGCGAACATTAGTGCCATTGATTCTGCACCATATTGGATTCTTTGATAGACGAGGTGGGTCACCTAAACATGTGCAGCCTTGGCCAGTTGTAATTGTAGATTCAACACCAGCTCAACGTAATGGTAGTGACTGCGGTGTATTTACGATTAAGTTTTTCGAATACATTGTAATTGGTACTCATTTTGGAACTCTAAATCACGAGAACATGAATTATTTTAGAAAACAACTAGCCTTCCAATTATGGACGAATACTCCTATGTATTAATGCTATTTGATGTAAATATATATGCAAGAAATATTTGATATTTTATAGATGTTTTTTATTTTTCTCTACTATTGTTTTTCTCTAACTCATTTGCTTTATTTGAAACCATTTTGAACTCAAGGATACTATTAAATGAGTTGGGTCTTGCATTTTTATGGGTTGTTTTTTGGTTTGCAAGAAATTGCAATTCATTGCAATATGTTGCAATACATTGCAATATATTGCAAGAAAAAAAAAACAGATTGTAAAAATGAGTACTACTTCTCTACTATTGTTTTTCTCTAACTCATTTGCTTCATTTGAAACCATTTTGAAATCGTTATTAAATGAGTTGGGTCTTGCATTTTCATGGGTTGTTTTTTGGTTTGCAACAAATTGCAATTCATTGCAATATGTTGCAATACATTGCAAATATATTGCAAGAAAAAAACACATTGTAAAAATGAGTACTACTTCTCTACTATTATTTTTCTAACTCATTTGTTTTGTTTGAAACCATTTTGAACTCAAGGATGCTATTAAATGAGTTGGGTCTTGCATTTTCATGGGTTGGTTTTTGGTTTGCAACAAATTGCAATCCATTGCAATATGTTGCAATACA